TTAGGCGATCGGTGCGGGGTGCATGACGTATCCTAGTATACAAAGGCATAAGGACAGAGAGAGCCACCCTGTAAACGGTCCAGCTCGTAACCCCCTCACGTCCGTCACAGAAAGAATAGGACCACCCTGTAAACGGTCCAGCACGTAACCCCATTCAATCCGTGTATCCCCCTGTATAGCAAGAGCATCATGCACGTGCACGAAAGAAACAAGAAGCGATCTGTGTGAAGTGAGGAATACCTACTCAATATACATTGATATAAGGACAACGGGTGCCACCCTGTAAACGGTCCAGCACGTAACCCCTATTGTCCGTCACAGACAGAATAGGGCCGAAACCATTCAGTCCGTGTACATCACTGTATAAAAAGTAGTCCCACTCACCCAGATCGTACGATTTACTGAAGCGTCGCGACGGCACTGACGACGTCGGAGCGGAATCCAAGCCGGCGCTCACCTCGGTGGTCGGTGGTCGGTGGTCTAGGCGCTGGTGGTCTGGGCTGCTGGTACCTGAAACAGAAGAAGAAGAGTCCATTGCAACGATCACATACCCGTTAGTATTGCCGGCTCTTGGACTATGATGATTTTATCAATATTAGGTAGTGGATATGGATATGCATCTAATAAAGTGAACTTGTTGATTTTTAACAATAATCAATAACCATACGTTTCTTATGATTTGAGTTGCTTGTCACCAAAACTTATGATACAATCGAATTTACGTATGAATTTGAGGTATATTCTGACTATTGTTGAGCCATTTCTAAAGATCTAGCTGATTTATGTGCTTCTTCTAGGTTCAGAGTCGTATTTTCTAAAAGTCTTTGCCTAATGTGAGATGTGGTGAGACTACGAATTGATGAATCTCTTATTCAGCAGTGACTGCTTTAAAATTACAGTCTTTACTTAATTGTATCAACATTTGTAAGTACTGGTCTATAGATTCACTTACTTGCTGTCTTCTAGTGGATAAAGTATGACGGACAAAAATTTAACTTTGTGTTTTTACATATAACTTTTCGAGTATGGCTACTGCTTCTATGTAGGAAATACATTCGCTAATAGACTTGGTAAACTGAAGAACTCACATAGGTAGTTTACTAAAAGTTTAATTTGTTCTTCTGAAATTTTCGCAGCATCTAAAAAGTTCTCAAACGTTCGTTTCCAATGGATCCATAACTGGCTAGCGTTGCTTGAATGGAATGTGTGTCCATTTCTAATCGATCTGGCTTGGGTAATTTATCCATTGATTAATTTAGCTTATTAATAAATTGTAGTAAAAGACCTTGAGAATTAAGGCTTTGATAAGCTAAAATTCATTACGGATTATTCTGACAATCAGGCCTATGATGTATCCTCTCCTGTTATTCTAACAGTTGGTGTTATAATCCGTTCACAATCCGATGTCCACAGGTACAGGTAAAATTTATCACCTTTCAATGCTATTTGATAGGGAAAGGTGATAAATTTACGAGCACCTGTGGACATCGGATTGTGAACAGGATATAGCTCAAAATCTATACCTACCTGTCTCTATTTTTACGTGTAGAATAAACAGTGACTTAACGTTGCTGTTAAAATAACGGAAAATGATACATCATAGGCCTAATTAACTGACAACATGACGTACAATATAACAGGTAAATAAATAGAATAGTAGATTATACCACGAGTCAATAATGATAGCTATTATTCCCGAGAATTATTACGAACTGAGCCGCGTTAGCGGCGAGGGAGTAACATTCCGAGGGAATAATAGCCATTATTGCGAGTAGTATACTCTACTTTATTTACGACAAATTAATTTATTTGAGATTTTCAATGAACAAATTTCATCCGTCTCATAATTTTCAATACAAATCCACAAGCACTACACGTTTGACAATGACACTTTTGTGGAATAATGACCATTAATCCCGCTACTCGTCATTAATCCCTGGAGGAATAACATATGTCATTATACTGCCAAAATCACAAATATAATATGCACATTATACATTAGTCGTAAATAAAACACTGTAAATAAGCTAATGAGATACCTATACAACACTCCCGACTCCAGGTTTCCTCTTCTTGATTTCGAGGTTGATCTTCTTGTCTTTGATATTTTTCATGAAATTTCTGTCATGTATTTACATTAACCATAGAATAGGTACCTACTCTCTATCTTCCTTGAAACTTGATTTTAGACATAGAATCCGTAGTCAAAAATCACGTTTCTTGTTCCATTCTCAAATAGAACACGATGAAATGTTGAAGAAATATGACTCCGTAGACTTGTTTCTCGATGTCAAAACCATTTCTCACTAATTAGCTTGAATAAATCTACTAATTATCTCTCTAATTATCCCCCTAATTAGCTAATAGACATCAGTTTTGTCTCGCTAATTATCCCACTTCTGGACACTATTTTCCATTAAAACTTTCTTTACCAACAAAAGCAACTTTTATCCAAATAATTGACTTTCCAAAATTCACCTTTTTTTAACTTCATCTAACATTTCTCTTATTTGAACCAGGGTTGGTATAATTTAAATCAATTGATTTTTTTTGGAAAAAATCAACGATTTATTATAGATATTGAGAAAATTCAGTTTGAAATTCCGACTAAAAGTTCAACTTTGAGGCTCAAAAAGTATTTGAGCTTTCAGTACCAATTTAGCACAGTTTTATATAGCGAATTCAATGCTCTTTCCAACGATATATATTTTTTTTCTATTTGCTCAAATTTCAATTAAGACATGAGCAATTTTTCTCAACCTTGTCAAGATTTGAAAAAATTTCCAGGGCCAAAATTGGGATTTTCCTAGAGATTTTCTTTTGGATTTTTTTTTTAAATCATGATTTTTGCCAACCCTGATTTGAACTGATTTACTTACAAACTAAGCGCTTTATATGCAAAAACATCCAATAGAAAAATCTCTATAATCACGTAAATGCTTGTTTATTTAAATTACATCCACAGGCTTCGCAGCAAAGTAATTTCGTAACATTACTTCCTTGACTAAGTTGAAATAGTATATTACAATCCGAGACGGAAAATACTTCATTGCTGGTCGAGAGGTTATTATAGTTTATCGAGACGCGAAGCGTCGAGATAAACTCAACCTCGAGACAGAAATGAAGTTTTCCGTCGAGGTTTGTATACTTTTTTATTTTCAACCCTTAATTTTCTGATGCAAAAACTAAAGATTCTGTTATACGAAATTTTCATATAGTGTAGAACTGGCCTTAGAAAAAAATATTTCACTTTTTTTGTCAATGTCATCAATTTTGACGATCTCAAAGGCCCTGTAAAGGCCAAAACAAAAGACGAAACCACAGGAAACCGCAAAATCAACAACCATAGATAAGATCAACAACGCCTTAACGACGGTAGTTTTCGCTCAGTATTTTTGCGGAAATAATAGATTTTCACTAGATTTCTCCCCGTTCTCCCCAAAGAAATGATTTCGGAAAGTGAAGATGAAGCGATGGATTGTACCCCACCTGAATTAAAAGAAGCAGCAGACAGGATTGGAGAGAGTTTGCTTCCAGCAAAAAGCAAATTTCGGTACGAAAAGGCTTTTCAAATATTCGAAGCATGGTGTAGCCAGAAAGGAACGAGAAATACTGCCTCGGAGACCGTTTTGTTGGCGTATTTTGGCGAATTATCTAAGGAAAAGAAGCCTTCGACTTTATGGTCGACTTACAGTATGTTGAAAACCATGATTAAATTGAAAGAGAAAGTTGATATCTCCAATTACGCAAAACTTATAGCTTTTTTGAAGCGGCAAAATCTGGGCTTTCAGCCGAAAAAGTCGAGCGTTTTTTCCAGAGAAAACATTAACGAGTTCCTCACGAAGGCAGCTGAAGAATTCATTAGCATCAAGGTAGGTTTTCAAAAAATATACAAAGAAGATAAAAATGCGAAAATCAAAATGATTTTCTGTATGCTATAGCTAGGTTACCCATTTTATTTTTATCTGGTTTCAGGTAGCGCTAATTGTTGGTGTGTCGGGTGCATGTAGGAGCGATGAACTAGTCAAGATGAAAATGGAGCACGTCAACGTTTTGGAAGGAAAGATCGCTATAGAAATTCCACACACAAAAACTTACACAAGTCGATCGTTTATCATAAGCGATCCAGATTGGGTTGCTATTTTCCACAAATACCTCACTTTGCGGAAAAATTTGAAAAATGACAGGTTATTTGTTCAATGGCGAAATGGGAAATTACATAACCAAGCAATTGGCTATCATTCAATCTCAAAATTTCCACATAAAATAGCTGCTTTTTTGAAGCTTCCAAAAATTGAAACTTTTACAGGGCATGCTTTTCGTCGTACTTCCGCAACCTTATTGGTTGACAACGGGGCCGATCTATTGCAACTCAAAAGACTGGGAGGGTGGAAATCGAGCACGGTTGCTGAAGGCTACATAGAGGCATCTTTGGAGAACAAAAGTAAGACTGCTCTGATGCTATCCTCTACTTCCAAAGGTATTCAGTTGTCCAGTGCATCCACAAGTACATCACATGCGGAAACTCATCCGCAAGCGCAAGAGATAATAGTTCCAAACGAAACACAATTCCAACAGGATGGTCTCAAGATTTCCATTATAAACAACAATGCTAATTTAACAATTAATGTAAATAAGTGAATAGATTTAATTAGTTCCATGTAATACATGTGGTTTTATTATTATATGTGAGAGCTGTATGAAAATTATCAATTTGGAACGAGCAGGGAAATGGGGACGGAAAAGCATTTGCCGTCCCGGACGGAAAATGCTTTTCCGTCCTAGGCAGGCATATGCATTACCGTCCCGATAAATGTCAAAGTCCAGAAATGTGACACTTTCAAGATTTTGAAAAACCTGCAATGTCAACATTACATATGTGGTTGAAAATAAAAGTTATTATTTAAAAAAAAAAAAGCCTATACTTACTTGTCGCCGGACTGTTATTGGAACAGTTTATTACAACGGTCAAATATAATCCCATCAATTGCTTTTTCCAGTTTCTCACAAAAAATCCCACTAAACGATTGGGTTGTGGAAATCGAGGCGAAGAAGACGTGAGAGGACATGCATTTTTCCGACGAATCGATTGGGAGAAAATTGAAAATCGTGAAGTGCAGCCACCATTTAAACCAAAGATTGTAAGTAAAACGTCTGGAATTTTTCAATATTAATAGAGCAAGTTTGTGTCTTACCTACTAAGTAACTGATTTCTTATGTCAATCAATTCTTTACAGAAACACCGAAAAGACGTGAGTAACTTTGACAAGCAATTCACTTCAGAGAAAACAGATCTTACGCCCACAGACAAATTGTTTATGATGAATCTCGATCAAACCGAATTTATGGGCTTCTCATTCTTGAATCCCGAATTCGTCCAACATGTTTAAGACAAAGTATAGCAATACCAAGCAGGTAAATTTCATCAAATTTTTCTCAAGCCACAATTCCAGTTATTAATTTTTTTTAGAATATGTGGCAGCATCTGGTGAAGAAATTGTAGGTATTTGTGTGAAAACTACCTAACATATCTACTACAAAAAAAAAAACTCTTCCAAAATATGTAATTTAAACATTCCAACTTCACTACATTCTATCGGTGTAGCATTTCTTACTATGGTAGTAATTTATTTATTCATAATATAACTAATAAAGTTTAACATATCTAATTTTCGACATATTTATAGGAAATTTTAGAAACATTTTCATTTTAATGACCAAATATTTAAAATAATAAAATAATTTCTATGTTTTTTTGTTGTAAAATCAATCTGAAATTTAGAGATTTGAATTAAAGTAAGTAGAATACTTCTAGTATTTTGAAGATCACATGAAAATAAATACTCACTATGTGTTTGTTATTTTGGTATTTTATCCAAAACATAAAATATTTTTATGTGATCTACAATCTTTGGGACTTAATGCTGTGCAATACTCATACTTGAGGGGATAAAAACTAAGATATTTCTAACATAATAAATTATTAGCTTTTCCTTCTAAACAGGGAAACTCGTAATTATAAATATTATGTGTCATAAAAGAAATTAGGCGAATTCAAATATCTTGACAATCAAAATGCTTTTGGTTAAAATTTGTAGTAAATCAAGATGATTTTTTATTGTATCTACTATAAGTAACACTTTTATTATTGATTGGTCCAAAAAAACCTAATTTTTTCCTTGTTTCAATAATAAAAATTGAGCATTTGTGTGTGAAAATTTGGTTTGCATACATTAATTACAAATTACCGTTACGTTTGCCTTCAGATTGGTGTATAATTGGACGAGGCAGTTTTTTTTTCTCAACTTTTCCAATGATTTTCTTTATTTTGAGTTATGTTGAACCCATCAACTTCGAGTTCACAGGGACTAAAGCGAGCGAAGAACATTAATTTTGTTTGATTCGTTGCTTCTTATTAAATTTCGGATGCTTTACTTATGATATTAATTTTAAATTGCCTGCGGAAATAATTGGATTGAACAATGTTCAATTTTTGTTATTGGATAATAGAGGAAACAATTTGAAAAAAAAATCGACCAAAATAAACATTGTACATAAACTGAATATGGAGTTTAAAATTCATCTTTATTTACAAATTAATCGATACTTTAAGTCTTCCTAATTATTATTAAAGAAAATTATTATGCATTTAACTTAAATAGATGACTACAAAGTGCCAACTGATGTACGTTTAATAAATTTTAAACTCTTAAGGGTTGTAACGTAAGATTTGAAATGCTGATACAATCAGATAATTGCAGGCTTTTTAGAACATTTTTTTATTTGAAAGTTGGCATAAAATGCCCCTAAAAATAATTAAAAACTGATTTAAATTATAATTATTAAAACATTCTTTTCCATTATACGTATTATACATATGTATAACTACTGGTTTCGGAATCTAAACATTTCTACATTCATCATTTTTGGAATACAATTGGAGTTATAGAAAGAAGTTAAGTATTGGGAAATGATTTTTCAGATTTTATTGTGTTGTGATTTTTCAATTAAATAGACACTGATTTCAACCACTGCTCAGTGTAATTTGATCCTTCTTCATCTGATGCAGAAATGCTCAGATCCTGAAACTAAATAGCTATAATGTTGGAAAGGATTGTCAAGCATAGACTTATATTTTAATTTCATGATTCATATTACGTTTAAATATAAAATATTACAAAATACCGGGGTAAATTTATTATTAAATATTTCTAGTTGTAGATGATTGCTATAAGCTCATAATATTATTGTCTTTTGATGTGATCAATTCATTTTTGAAGAACTCTACTTTTTATAATCAGCTATTAATTCTAATAATGCTAAATGCATCTGGGGAATATTTTGCTGTTAATAAAACTTTACTCACTCATAACAAAAATATCTTTTATGTGTTAACTATCTTTTAACTGTTGATTTTATTTTTGAACTGTGTATAATATACTTTAAATATTTGGGAAAATTTATGATGCTCCTCATTTAAAAGTATGATGCTTGCCAGGTTCAACTATATAAACCAGTGATGCAGAATCCATAATTCCATTCACTTCAGCATCAAAATTCTGTTCACAAATGTTCAATTCACTCACGACCTAATCAGTTGTTTAGTAGTTTCAAACATGGAATATTTTCCATTTTCTTCCATTTAATTGGTTTAATGGCATCCACTTCTCATCTTCTCAAGAACTTTGAACAACTCTTACATTTATAGTTTTAACTTTCGAAAAACAATAATGTGTAGACTAGATTCTTGTATTAATTAATAACATGATAAAATTATGTGTGCCAAAATATTTTCTAAATGCTTACAACTAATATAAAAGAACAACTTCTAAATGAGGAGCATTAGGTATATTACAAAAACAAAATAAATTTCTTTTTCATACTCTACACACGCTTCATGCCTTAACATTTAGAAAAATATACTATATTTATTACTAGTACCTAATATTAATATTATAAATTTCTGCGATAGTATAATAAGGAGACTATTTCTACACAATTTAAAAAATAATACTCATATTTGTAGGCTTAAATTAGAACTATTATAGGGAAACGCGTTGTGGATAAAATATAGGTAATAATATTGATAAAGTATCCATTTTCATTATAGCAATATATTCAAGTTTTAGGTATAGCAATACACAATTTGTTGTATTTTACTTGAAAGATGTGTTACGAGTAGATTTTATTTTATTTTTTTGCTTATTTTAATCGAAAAACTACTAGACTTTCCATTCAGAACATTCTCATCTGCTTGAACGCTATTTATTCGAAAAATCTAGTTTGGAAATAGCAAAATTCGAAGACTTTTCACTCAAAATAAATCAATTATTTACCATTTGTATAAATACAAGATTTTTGAAGGCAATTTCTTACTCTTTCATGAGAAATTTCAACTCGGCAACTCGACAAAAAAACGACATATATTTTCAAAATTCTTATTATTTTGAATCAGACAAATTTTCCTTAATCCGGAATTGCGAAAACTCATGAATAAACAAAAACAAAAACTATTATAGAGTTACTTTGGAGCTCTCAAGATCAATTTGGGAAAGCACCAGAAGAGGATCCCTATTTATTATTTTCATCCAAAAATCAAACTTGACCTTGAAATATTGTACCTATCTTTATAATTTTAAAACACCCCGCATTTACCATTTTTGTTGCTAAATATATAATTTATTACTAAAAAACATTAAATAATAATAATGTATGTACATTAAAATTGATATATGGATTAGTTTAGGTACATTTGGAGCTTTCTTATACTTAATGATGACTAATTTCTTCTAGTGCCATAATAATTGCCATATTTGGATCATCTAGTCATACATTTAAGTTATTTAGTTAGTTATTGTTATATAAGTTTTGGTTGCTGATATACTATACATAGTACCTACCTGTGTATTTTTCTATTTATTATACATATACATCTCGATTTTTTGGTACACTTTGTATGTATGTAATTTTTTTGCCATTTTTTAAAATATTTAATTTATTGTGCTAAAAGTAGGAACATTTTTATATTATCGAATATTGGCATATTATGGTGTCGTCTTTACTTCACATTCTTCATGTAAAAAACCTTTTTTATCTGTTTTAGTGTTTTATTAAATTTTTAACTCTTGTTATTAGTCAAATAAGTATTGTATTTATTGAGAAATAAATTATTGTACTCTTGATCCGATTATTCTGATTGTTTTAAATATCATTTTTCCTCTAGGAGTAAACCACCTCTACAAAGTATGTGGGATTCTAGTGGAATTTTGTGGGATTCTGTGGAATTCAGTGGGACTCCTTGGGATTCCGTGGTATTCCTTAGTTTGCTTGATAAGTCTGTTAGCTAACACAATTGTTCAAATAAAAAACACAGTTCTTCACAAAAATACATATCTATATACATAAAACACAGTTGTGTTTTGTGGAAGCACCTATAACTGGAGAACGGCTGGACTGATTTTTATGATTTTTGCTTTATTGGATTTGTCTGTGTCTATCCTAACATAATAAATCAAAAAAATCAAAAAAAAAAACAAAAAAATTACCTTTTTTACTTATTTATGAAAAAAAATTAATAAGCCCGCATACGGCGCCATCTCTTATAACCGATACCAAGTTTACCGTCACATTTTCATTGCAAACCTTGTGGATTTTATTGTCACACACTTTGCACAAAAACAATTTATGGAAAGCACTTTACTTTCAATTGTTCTTCACAATAAAAATGTCCAAAAATAAATAGAATTACAATGTTTTAATTGTGTATTTTATTTTGTTGTTGGTCCATTCCGAAAGAGCGCGAACTGGTCTTCCTGTCATTTCTTGACGCTTGACAATTGACGTTCTGTGGCTAAAGGCGGTTACACACGGACCTGGATATCTGAAAGCATGTACGCACATACATGAACGCGCAAACAAAAACATCAATGTGTATGCAAAATACCGTCGCGTTTTTGAATTTGCAATTTTGTATGCACACTCGAAATACTGTAGCAAGAATAGCAAGACTGCAGTTTTGTGCGAGCGTCTGTACAAAAGCGCCATGCACGTTGTTGTTTGCACGTTGATGTATGCACGTATATGTATTAAGACATCCACGTCCGTGTGTAACCGCCCTAAGTTCCGTTTCTCCTCTCAGGCATCCCTTGACAGCCGTGTTCCGTGCCGACTGTTCGGAGTGCTCCGTCCGGCTGGTGTCGAGTGGCAGAGAGCCAGGTTATGAGTCCGCCACAACCATTTTGTATACGGCGCCATATATGATACCTAGAACGAAGCTCACCGATGCGCGGTAATTTCATTGCAGATGCAGTAGAACCATGCTGCTCAGGAACTGGAGTTATTTAGAACATAACTATTCCACTATTCTGATCAGATAGAGTGGTGCAGAAAGAGTAGATCAGATAGAATAGTGCAGATAGAGTAGAACAGATGGAGTAGTGCAGTGCAGATAGAGTGATACAGGGCTGCGCTGTAGATTTTTTTCTGTTTTCTTTACATTCTTTGAACATTCCTGTGCCTGAGTTTATTTATTTGGTGGTACACTTTACAAGAAAAATGCCCACAAGCTGCCTTGAAAGGGATGATGTAAAATTTTAATTTTAGGTGACTTCTGATCTGGAGAGTAAACATTAATATTCTTCAACCAAAGCCAAATTCACCATCGAAAAAAACTGAATTTAATTCAGCTAATAGATACGTTAACACAACATTTAATAGGTAGGTATTTAATAATTCAGCGGCGGTACGAAGTTCGCCGGGTCAGCTAGTATTATAATAAGCTTAAATGCCAACCGCTTTACATTCAGAAACGAAGTACCTGGGTTTTAATTTCTGAAGACCATTCCAACCTTATCCTATTTTCAAGCATTAAGCAATTTATTGCACCGTTTATGGCACAGTCTCTATGGTGGCGTCGTCTCCCGCATTCTTTTAAAATTGCTAACAGTCGGCCAATGCTACCATGGTTTCGCCTCAAGACTTTACTCCACGAAACCTGCAACAATACAAAACAAAATTAGTAACCTAATCTCTGAAGACGGCCCAGCGAGACTTATTCTCCGCTGATCGTTTTCTTATCAGCTTCACCGTCAGGTCCTTTTTGAGATCCTCACCCATACTTGAACCAATCAAGCTTCGTTTTCGCAACTTTTTACGAACAGGTGTAGAATCTCTCAGGGAAGCTGCTATAGGCAAAGTTTACTATAGGGGACTTTTCCCTAAGTGATACGCAGACTTTTTGTGCACTACGTCCGGAGCGACTTTTGCTCTCAAGTGACTTTTCACTAGGCGTTCCAACAACGTTTCGCTTCACTATCTCGCATCTTCAGGTTCTTCGAAGTGACTTTCTACCCAAAAGACCTTCATCTCTTCTCCTTGCGGAGCCTTTTCTTGCATACTAGAACTTTTGTTCTCGAGTGACTTTTCACTCTCAATGCCGGTAGCACTTTGACTCAGCATATTCTCACCAACGGAGCAACTTCTACTTAGCGATTTCCGTTATTGTCGCCACCTACTTTTAGTAGCGCTTAACTCGAAAAGAAACGACTTTTGTTCTCTAATATTGGTTGTGGAACAACAACAATCCTAGATTCAGATCATCAGACAAAGCAACACTATCTTCTTCGCGTCGAGCCTCATAAAGCTTCAGTTTATCTACAGTCCAAATGCCACTATATTGTCTTCCTCGTTCATTTTCATCAGGCAGGCTTTCTATCAAGTAGCGATCATAATCTAATACTTCCTTAATTAGGTAGATATATGATCCTCCAGACTTAAGTATATAATGGTTTTTGCTCTTTCCATCATTCTAGGTATTTTGCTTCTGAATAAATACTAAATCGCCGATTGCAAATATCACATCTTTCTTTTTTACATCAAAACGGCATTTCTGTTTTTATTCATTTGATGCACTCCTGTAAATTGATAACCAAAAAGCATCTCATGAGGGTTTTTTTTGTAGCTTTATTTACAGATAGTTGATTTCGAATCTGATTCTATGTAATGTTTGATCCCAGGTATCATCTTCATCTGTGGAAGCAGCTATTGCAGAAAGAATTTTTCTGTTGTAGCGCTCGACTTCCTTCATTTGCCATCTGGATTCCCATGGCATTACACACAAACTTCACTCCAATTTCAGTTGCATATTTCTTAAATTCCTTACTAGTGAAAGCTGTTCCTTCATCGCAAATTATTCTTCTTGGCACACCAAATAAGGTATTGAAGATATCTTTCAGAAAATAAAATATATCACTGGCAAGCTTTTGGTGTTTTTCATTGCTTCCATGAAAACATCTTTGGTGGAAGCATCCACAGAAACGATGAGATACATGTTGCCTTGCTTGCTTTTTACACAAGGGCTTAAGTGGTTTATGTGTAGAGTATTCATTGGGGTGGGCTCCTTGTGGATGTGGTGTAAAAACCCCAGCTGTGGTCCACCACTACTCTTATTGTATAAACAGCTTAGACAACAACATACAGGTCTGGCAAGCCAACATCTTACAGGCCAATTTCAATGCGATAGAATGAAATGTATAGGAAAAGTTTAAGGTTAAATAGAGAACGAAAACGATTTCCCCTATTCCACCTCCAGCATGCAGCGCTGGGAATCTTATTGGAGGTGGAACAGGGGAAATCGTTTCGGTTCTCTATTTAACCTTATACTTTTTCTAGACATTTCATTCTATTGCATTTAAATTGGCATGTAAGATGTTCACTGTGCTGTGAAAACCCAATCACTTTCAGATAGATTGTTGATTAAAATTTGCATATCATCTATGAGGTTTCTGCTGAGGGCATCTACGTGCGCACTGCGTGTTCCTGGACGATACTCCTATGGTAAAGTTGAATTCTTGTGTGACCACCCACCAACGTCCAATCTCTGGTATAATATCCCTTTTTGTCATAGTCAGCTGAAGTACGTATTGCAGTCAGTTAGAACTTTAAATGGTATCCCTAATAAATAAACACTAAAACCTTGGCATGAAATTCATTAAAGCCATTGTTTTCAACTCGTACGAGTGGTAACGCTGTTCCTTCTTACTGGTTTGTCTACTGAAATAGAGAACATGTTTCAACTTGGAGTCTGGTTGCTTTTGTAGTAAGATACCAGCCACTCCATGCTTAGATGCGTCAGTATTATGCAGTATGTCCAATTTTGGGTGATAAATCGCAAGTACCGGTTGGGTAGGTACAAAGAATTTCTCTCAGGCAAGTGAAGGCTTTGTTGCTGTTCTTTATTACAATCGGACACGACATCTTTCTTTGTGAGTTGTGTCAGCCGGTCTTGCAACAATCTTTGACGTATTTTCGAAAGTAACTTGCCAGACCCAAAAATTGTCGGATTTCATGTACATTCTTTGGAATTGGAAAATACTTTACTGCCATTATTTTTGCAGAAACTGGGCGCACGCGCCTTTTTAGCTGATTTCATATCCCAAATACTCAATAGTCTGTCTGGAAAAATGGCACTTCGATAGTCGTATATTAGGGTTACCCCACACGTTGAAATAGTTGCAAAATGGTTTCAAGGGACTTTAAACCTGATGAAAAGTCAGTAGAAGGAATCAAAATGTCATCCAAGTATGCAAGAGCGATAGTAAATCTTAAAGATCCTAAAATTTGGTTTACTGTTCTTCGAAAAACTGCTGGAGCATTTGCTAATCCGGATGGCATCCTCGAGTACTCGTAGTGCCCATCTGGGGTTATAAAAGCAGCTTTTGCCATTGAATTTTTTGTTATCGGTATTTGGTGATAACCACTGGCCATGTCTAAAGATGTAAAATATTCGCAATTCTTCAATCGTTGAAGTTTATCATCAGTTCGAGGGAGAGGGTAGCAATCTTTTAGCGTTTTCTGTGTTGAAGCTCTATAATCAACGCACATTCTATTCGTTCCATCTTCCATCCTTTTTCTTGACTAATAAAATGGGACTCGCGTAAGGAGAGTTGGACTCTTGTATTATACAGCACATCTCACAATTTTTCGTACCAAATCTCTCTCGCTCATTATAAGACGGTAATGTCGATACGTCATAGGGTTGGAGTCGCTCAGCTGAATACTCATCTCAGCCCCTTTTACACAATCCATTTCTTCTAATTTTACAGCAAAACAATGTCGATATTATTTATTAAGTAATTGCTAGAAACAATAAGGAGCTGAAACCGTTACATTTATTAGATCGACTTCAATGTTCACTTGTGCAGTTCCCGAAAGCATATGCAGTACCGCCGACATAGCCACTTATCCTTATGCTGCAGGGCTGTTATGAAATGTTGCATTTTTCAGCAGTGGTTAAGCATATAGTAAGCACCGCAGATCCTGTATCAATTAAGTCCGTCACAGGAAAGTCCATTGACTTTACAAGTAACTTGATTTTTCAAAGTTCTGGTTTTCTGTTTGGAGAGTCAAAGCTGATTTTGAAGTAGATGATCAGTTTTTGTAGCAATTAGTTGTTGCCGTATGGCCCAACTTCTTACATATAGTGCATTCAATCTTGGCTTTACGGCAGTCTCTATATATATATACATGCCCCCTTGGCTCACAATTATAGCATTTGAATTTGGCATGATCTGAGCTCCGGCCACTGACTGGTTCTCTGAGGGTAGGAATCATTGGATGCTGGCGATCACTTTTTGTCAAATTTGTTAAAGTTACTAGAGTGTCGCGGGCGTTCTGATGTGGGAAGCCAGAGCTGCTAGATACTCTCCAAATAAATTTTCTGGTTTGCTGTACCTGCCTGCTTTTGCACCATTTTGTATGGCATTATCCTCAATGCCATCGATCAACATAGTTACAGCCTTTTTTCCTTCAATCTAACACGCATGCAGTAACTCCATTTTAGTAAAGTAATATTCAGTCAATGTTTGTTTAGGCGTCTTCAACAAATTAATCATTTTTTTCAATGTTGTTGGATAATCGTGTTGGTCTGGAAACGCGTTAGTGATAGTTTTCATTGATCCCAAGTGTGATCATAAGTAGGTATTTAAACTGCTTGTTGATCCCGCAGAGTTTTACTCACTTTCGATCCTCTGCAGGATCAGTGGAGCGAGTTCCACGGCAATTAACTAATTAGTGACTCGCTCAAGTACCTATATACCTACCTAATTCTGATCAGAAAATTAGTGAATTTTTCAATTAAGTTATTACTCACTCAATTTATTGAGCAACAGTTTATTGACGAGTTAATCAATGTAAGTAATGAGTGAAATCAACTCCTTTAATTTATTACTTTTCCATTGGATTCCAGGAGGATACCGGGAAATTCCGTGGGATTCCAGGAGGATTTCGAAGGATTCCGTTAAAAGTGAAATTCTGGTGTACACATTTTTTAAGGTGGTTTACTCCTCGTTTCTTCTAATCCTAACTCCTAGAAAACAAATCTTTCACTGATCAAATCGAGTAATATAATAATAACTGCCTGAAACGCTTTGGATAAGCTTTTTCTTTTCTCTGTTAAATTATTGGCGAAACAACTTAATTTTGATCCTATTGATTGCATTGGTATTTTGTGACTTTGATACCATAAAAAAAAAACTACCTATTTGAAAAATAATCAAGTCGGTGCCTAATGGCAAAATCTGAACATTATTTTTTCCTTATTGTTTCACAAAGTAGATGTAGGCACCTAGAGTAGGCAAAAAATACCTATTTGATAAACTGACCAACACCCTGTAAATACAAAACAATTACTGGCCTCGAAATCGAGCAAACAAAAAGCTGCCTGATCAAATTTTCACCCTTCGTGGCTGGTAACATAAATCAGACATTTTATTTCCAAGGTCTGGGGTCTATTTGCACAAAAAAAATCATTTGTAGTTTGAGGGGCTGAATGTAACGCAAAAAAGCTATTTTTTTTCAGTACCTACATCAAACACCTCTTTAGCTGTGCAGAATCAAAATTTTGTCCATGTAAGTTAATAATACTATTATACTAATAATTTTTTATTTAAAACTATATTTTTAAACACGAGATTGAACCATCAAACGACCTCAACATTTTCATTTAATCAGATATTGTGAATGATGAAAGTAGCTAAGTTTTAGGAGAAATGATCATGGATTACACAGCTCACCACAATCGCAGGTGGAAAGACTTTACAGATGTTAGAACACGGGCCAAAATGACCAGAAACTTTAACGAAAAAAAAACTGGAACGAAAAAAAAAACGTTTTTTTTTTCCCAAGAAAGACCCACGATTTGTGAAGAAATACATCCTGACTAGTAATAATTCCTGGGAAGTTAGGAATCATTATTTTTGAAGATGGGAATGGAATCACAACTCCGAACACAATAGATAGGAAAAAAATTGAGCCCAGTTTGATGTTTATATTGTGCTACAAGTGTTGAAAATAGTACTTTTCACACGCGCGGGTAGTTTGCTGCAATTGCTGGCACAAACCACACGAGTGTGAAAAGTGCTTTTTACACTCGATACAAACTATAAACTTTTTCTACGACTGCGAAATAGAGAGTAAGGTGGCCATAAACTAAAAATAGGAAAAAAATTATCATAATTGACAAAAGAAAAATTCAGTGGAAGTGTAATTTTTATTTTAGCGTGTAAAAATTAAGTGGTTTTCGCACGCTGTTCGAAATAAATGATTTTCTAGGTAAGTTACATGTTTTATGTTTCGCATAAGAACATAAAGAACGTAGCAAATTTCTTAATGAAGAAAGATTCATTTTACTTCATTGCATACAATACAGGAAATTAAAAGTAATAGTAATACATGGTAATACATACTAATAAAGGAAGTAAAAAAAAAATCAAAATTATTCTTTGATCAAGGCACACACCAGTCATTAATTCTCCTACAATCATGCGTTCTCTTTCTTTCACAGATGAGTTAAAATTTTATATGACAGAAATCCAGTCAATTTTCAGTGAACTCAACCCATACAAAACAACAACAAAAACAATAAATTTTTGTATTTTTCTTTTATATTTTTATCTTTTTGGTTTATTTAAAGAATTATTGTTTGAATATTTTATCAAGATTTCACGCATCCAAGCAGTTCCTAAGTAAATCTAGCTTCTACATAAACGTTACAACGAGGACAATGGTATAGCTTGGAAAAAAGTGAGTAGAAATCATTATTTTCAGACAAAACTTACAACCAACATTCACTTTTCCTTTCCTTTTACATCTTGCCTGAGGTGGGTTTATTAAAATAGATAAAAAGTTGACCATACCATAACTATATTATTTATAGGAAAGTAACATAACAATCATAACATAAATATAAAAGCGATAAAAGCATAGACTGCAATATAACGATGGGAGACCCCAAAAGAAATTTTAGAGGAAGCAATAGAAGTTCTAGAGTGCTTCTTAAATAATTTATGATTTTAAACTTCATCAGGACGAACAGAATTAGCATTTAAGCTCTAACATAATTCTGTTGGTACCATTTTCCCTCGCATTTTCCATTCTAATTTAAAGGCATTCAGGTTTTTCTTCTCGTTCAGTTTTCGTCTTTTTTCCTGTGAGTTGAGGTTGTAAATTCACAAAAGGAAGACACAGGTTGAGTCTCTATGGGTTGGGTAATTGTTTTTTTCTAAAATGGAATTTTGGGATATTTTCTTTTCATTGACTTATTTTACTGCTTGTGATAATGACTGATTGTGTGTTATAATGTTATTTCGTCGAGCGTTGTTTGATCGTTCCAAGATATCAAGGTATCACAAGTTTATTTTGTTATAGGTAATTAAGAAAAAATATCAAGCTTTTAATTGTGTTATAAATAGTTTAAGTTTCCGAAGATCGTGATAATTGAAAGGGAGGCTAGGTGCCTGGTTTCCATTATGTGCCAATCTCGGTGCCAATACATATCAACATTGACTAGTTTGTTGATTGAACATACAAAAAAAATGTGATTTAAGTCTTCAATTTGCCCACATTCACAGTTTGCGAGAGAATAAAATATGTCGTCTATCTATTGTTCGTCGATTTTTAACTGACACTTTCCGTATGAGGAGCGAGGGGGTGTTTCATATGGCAAAAACAGGTGTGACGTCAGGTAACCATTGGCGTTCTAATGAAGAGAGCCACCAGCTCACATTCTGTCCGAGTATCAGATTAAAATCGACGGACAATATGTATGGGTATTTTTTGAACCATGTTGATCTGGGTAAGCTGTCTTGCAACTGGGCATACCACCTGCTTTATGTCTGAGTGAATCTTTCCAAGCCAATTCATGCTCTTTTGAAATCTTTTCTTTGATGGCAGCCCATATGTTATTTTTGTTTAGAGGTAGGTTTTTTGGGACATTGAGTTTTTCTCCATTATAAACCAACTTGTTGACTGTTTCATTTCCAGAGATTCCAACGTGACTGAGTATCCATGCCAATTTGATGTCATAGCCTGCCTTATATGTTGCGATTAGTAGCGATTTGGCTCTCAATGTTAAACAATCTATATCTGGGTTCAAAGATCTTTGGTTGAGAATGTCTATTACACTTTTAGAATAATTTAGAGCAGATGTCCATTAAGGCATAGGTACCTATCGTTAGGGCTTCCCTAAAATAGTTGGTGGAAATGGCCATAAGACACTTTTTCTACAAACGTCACTAAAAGTGTCATTTTTAACGGATGCTGTCAGTATCTAAAATGCCATTTTATGACAATGGCGTTAAAAGTGATTACTTTTAGCACTAGTTGTAAAAGTAATCACTTTTAGTGCGGTTGTAGAAAAAATAGTGTATGACATTCGTGCTAAAAGTGATTTTATTTTGTTCAAAGGGATGGCCGTCTGCAGCTGAAGCTGTATTTCAAGGAAGGACAGTGTACGGCAATCGCAGCTTTAAGCTCCTTTTTTGATCCATCGGTATAAATGAATGTGAAATCTTTTCTAAATTTTTCCATGTTAGCCATGAATTTTATTTTTGCAGAGTGTTCTCTTTTACCAATATTCACATTAGTGGTACAGATATTTCTTATTTGAGTTTCATATTTAGTGTTATAGCATGGCATTGTGTCGACTTTTTCTGTTTTGTTTCTGTAAGGGAAGAAATAGTTGAAAGCCTGAACCAGGTAGGGAATGTCTTTTCCTCTCCCTCTAATAGTTTGCATTGCTCATGGAATGTATTTTGATGGCCTTAATCAAAAAAATGATCGGATGTTGGTGAATGTTAACTGTTTTAGTAAAAAATTTAGTTCCCAGCCATAACTGTCGGAAGCTAAAGTCCATTTTTTTGGATTCTGCCAGGAGGACGTTTGTTGGTGTCGATTTGTTGTATCCGAGTACTATTTTTAGTGAGTATTGGAGCGTTTTAATTTTATTTGAGTTTTTCTTGCTTATGTCAAGAAGAAATGCTCCATATTCCATATGGGACATTGTTGTTTTGTTTGGGATTTTGTAATTGTTTCTCAGAGTAGATAAATTGTTTTTGATGCATATTGCTACACCACCATATCCATCATTGCGGTCATTTCCCATAATGTTGTAATTTTTCAAATGGAAGGGGCTTTCGGTTCAAAAATAATACATCTTGGTCATGCGCCCATATGCTGCTGATAAGGTCTCGGATAAGGTTGTCCCTGTTGTGAAGGATGCTTCGGACACTTCGGACGTTTCATTGCAAGACTGCCAGCACATTGTTTCTTATGACAAAAAACGAAATAATTTTTTTTCTCAAAAACCGTTGGAGATGAATCTATCGTACTTTATACCTATCATCGAAATAAGCAAAATCAGAGCTTTCCATTAAGCTAATAATAGGAGGGTATTCTATTGAAAAAAATCGGATTTTGGTCAATATTTCGAAATCGGACCATTTTTTTTCTATCCCTAAAAATAAAGTGTTTCCATAAGAAAGTGTCCAATTTGGACCGCACAGTTCCAATGATACACAGTATTATTATTGAATTGGCTTAAAAAACTTACTGTAAATGAAATATCAGGGCGAGTATCAGGGCGTGTAAATACCGCTAAATACAGTAAACTCCCTACTAATTTTTGATACAAAGAATTCTCATTTTCAGGAATTAAAAAACTCGTTTTCCATAGGGGTATTAACACTGTTGCATTATGTCATATTGAAGAGTTTTAACAATTGGAGTTACCATCTTTTCGAATTCTCATGCCAAGAAACTGTTTGACTAGACCTAAAACTTTAATTTTGAATTCAGCACTGATCAGATGAAAAAACCAAAAAAATCGTCTACACCTAATGCAACTATGATTAAAGAATTATTTTTCCTTTGAATATAAAGACATGGTTCAAAATCAGATTTCTTAAATCCTAGCCTGGTTAAAACTTCATCCACTCTTTGGTTCCATACCCTAGATGACTGTTTTAAACCATAGACCTTCAGGCTGTTTCATTGAAACTTTCTCTTCTAACAAACCATTCAGAAAGGCTGTTTTCACCATCCAGGTGTGCGAAAACTTTCGGTGTCCTATTTCTCTCAGATTTCCTGGGAACAGCAAGAGGTTGTATATCTGCATTGAATGAATTTGAATCACTTTCTTCTTCAACAGATGTCTCGACCTCATTATCAGTAGTATTTTCAATAGTGTTACCTACATCCCCCACTGAATCTGGCACTTTCACAGGAAATTCAGATTGAGGACTTGATAAAGAAAATGATATAGTTCTTCTGTCTTTTTCTATAATAATGATATCTCTACTGGTCACTACTTTCTTCTTTAGGATCGTAAGGCTTGTAACTCGGCTTGTAACCTTTAACATTGGTATTGGAAAAACCTACTAGTATCATCTTTGAGTTCTTGTCTAACTTCCTTCTATTTGCCTTGGGGATATGCACCATAACTTCGCTTCCAAAAATGCGAATGTGACTAACATCGGGTTTTTTTCCTATCCACATTTCAAAAGGTGTTTTGTTATTTAAGCCCTTAACAAAACTTCTATTGCACAAATAAACATCCGTATGAGTCGCTTCTGCCCAAAATTTCTTTTCTAACTCGGAATCGGATAGCAAACATATTACTTTTTCAACCACAGTCCGGTTGAGTCTCTCAAGCATCCCATTCTGCTCCAGTGAGTGTGGATTTGTCGTTTGATGTAAAAAGCGAAATCTTTTTAGAAAAGTCTCAAAAACTTGACTGCAGAACTCACCACCTCCATCTGATCTAAGAGTTTTAATTTTCCTGTTGTTACAATTCTCAACATACTGCTTAAATTCTTTAAAGTATAGTAAGTAAACAAAAGCCATCCCGCTGAAATAATCTTCAAACATCTTGAAGTACCTTGACCCACCAATAGAGTTCACCTCAAAAAATCCACAAAGATCTACATGTACTACTTCCAAAATTGATGTTGCTCTGTTTGCACTACTTTTAAAAGGTAGTCGATACTGTTTGCCTTCACAGCATACTTTGCATACGTCAGATTTCTTGCTACTACAATTAAGTCCTAAAACTGCTCCACTTTGCATTAATTTTAGGTCATTGTAATTCAAATGTGCAAATCTACGATGTAATATCTTACCTGATACAGCCAAATTTGCTATACCCAGCCTTGACACTTTCAAATGGTCAAAAATGCTAGGGTATATATGTAGAGGAACCATAGAAATGTAATTTGAGATAGCACACCCATGGTCGGAAATGCGTCGTTTCCAAAATACAGGGTGTTGAAATTTTAGAAAAATTTTTCCCTCTGTATTAAAAACGCTTTTAGCGATTTTGATGAAATTCTCAGGATAGGTGGTGATGCAACTTTTAAAGGAATTGCAGTTGATTTGATTTGTCCAGGGTCGGACTTGCAGCACATGTGTGTTAAATTTTTCTAAAAAAAAATGGTAGGCCACTGTGTTTTCGGAAAAAAAATGTTTTTTTTTTTGAAATAATAATTGAATTTCAACAAAAAATTACCCTTAAGTTTTTGCACTCTGACGCACCGTTTTCGGGTGAAAAAATTAAATCCATACAAGAACTTTAGAAGTTTTATTGCCCTAAATTTTAAGTTTTAGCCTGTTTTCACATGCATGTGCTGCAAGTCCGTCCCTGGACTAATCAAATCAACTGCAATTCCTTAAAAAGTTGTATCACCACCTTTCATTTAAATCCTGAAAATTTCATTAAAATACAGTGAGGGAAAAATTCGATTTTTTCT